TATGACTATTATCTCTATCGTTCCGTTTATAAAGAGATCTATGTGGTTAACGCTTTAACTAATTATTTTAGTGTAAAATAATTAATTAATACATCTATTATATATTAATATATACATATTCTCTGTAGACTGTATATTAAAATACATAGAAATGTATAAAAATTTATAAAAACAATGATAACGACGACTATAAAAAGTATATAGATGTATTTATTAATAGGAAAATGCGTGTCTAGTAAAGCTATATATCGATCAGAAAAAAAAAGTAGACGTATTTCTGTTCCGTTTTCGACGCCGGTATTTCTTCCTCTTTATCTTCGAACAACACGCCCACAACTATAGGCCTATACAATGGGTGTTATCTTCGACGAAAATAGACTTATATACTTGTATATGCACTAAAGCTATGCTTTTTATATTCTCTTTTTTTTCTATATTATGTAATATACATGTATAAAGATAATTTACGTAGTTCATTATATATAAATATATACAGTATATTCATATATTTATACACGTTTAGAAAGTCAGATAGATCTATAGGAAATACATACTGAATATACATATTGTTATTAATACACCTAACTGATTGATACATTTTATATTAAAAGAAATAAGAGAGAATTGTTAGTACAAGGGGGATATAGTTTGATCAAGATCAACATATTGGCAACATACAGTGTATACGGTGTACGATAGGTCTATGTATAGATGTATACACACATATACATATATATATATATATATATATATATATATATATATATATTTATAAAGGGTTGGAAGTGGGGAGGGCAGAGAAAGAGAAAGATCACTAAGTGCATTCTTATTGATATAGAATTTATTTAAAAAAAAAAATACCCTAAAGTTAAATGAAGTGCATCCATTTAGAAACGAGAGTTTCACTGAAAACTGTAAGAAAACCATACGAGTCTATAAGAGCGTTCATAATGTTAATAATAGTAATAAAGCCGAGAGAAAAGTTATTCTATATCAATAGTATCGTTATCAAAAAGGGAATGGAGAAAAATAGGAAGAGAAAGAGAGTTTAACAGATAAGAAATGGTATAATAGACGACTTATTATGTACAAAAAAGTGATTCAATATCGATTAACTATACACTTTTTTATGTTAATCTCTTTGATTACGTTCTGCGTATGAAAAGAAGAAATTTTACATGCTGTTATTTATAAAGGTGCAATGTATTATTAGTGCTAAAAGAACGCTTTGAAAGCGTCAAGTATCTTAAAGGCGTTACAAAAGAAACATATTTTATAAAGTAATTCCACCGTATTTATCGAATTTTTTTTAAGATTCCAATTCTTTTAATAGCATCTCTCTCTCTCTCTCTTTTCCCTTTCCCGACTCCTTCGCCTTTCTATCCCTCTCTCTCTCTTTCCCTTTCTCTCTTTCTATTTCTCTACGTTATAAGAAAAAGCAGCTTTTGCTGTTTATCTTTTAAATGAGAAAAAAAAGGGTTAATCCTTCTTTCTATTTGTCTCAGTCTTCTTCCCTTACTGCCGTACTATTGTTTATATAGTGCCTTATACAAAGCTAGCCTCTCTATCTTCTGCTTCATTTCATTTGAAGATCAATTATAAACATTTAATGAAAATAAATTAAAAAAAGAGAACACATAATAAACTACTAAATAAGAAATTTGTATAAACAGCATCTTAATTAAATTCTCTTTGAGGCTACGTTTTTCTTGAAAGCGATAATCCGTTATTGCAGTCACGCAAGTTGCGGGATTGCGCAATTGAAAAACTACCAGGCCTTTTGACAAGATAATTACACGATGATGAATCATTCCTACCCGTCATTCATTATAATTAAAGTTAAAAAAGTCTATTGAGGTGGAAACTGTAAAAATGAAAAGATTTTCATACTAGGCCAAATTATTATAAACGCTAGATGTATCTTTATAGTCTTTTTTCTCCATGCATACAAATTTATGCACCATTACATCTTTATAAATAGTAGAACAAGAGTGTGTGCCTTTTTTAATAGAATACTAGGACTAATTGGGGTGATCTAGTAAGTAAAAGGTTCTTGATCTAATAAAGCAGATATACAGTACCGATACCCTATTTTTGGCCACCATTTTTTTTTTTGAAAATTAAATTTTTTTTCAACTTTGGCCTAAGCAAGATGTTTTTACCAGAAATTAAAATGAAGACAAATTATCTATCCTTACTTGAGAATTATAAAAGCTGTATTTAATACAAACTTGATAAGAAAAATATATCTTTTCATCAATGAGGTGTTAAAATCGATTTTTCTATATTTTTTAAAATAAGAATAATGAAGTTGCGAATGGTAAAAATGAAAGTCATTTTGTAACAGTATTAGATAATTTGTGAAAATTATTCTTGAATATTTATCACTTACTACTTTTACTTAATTAACCAATTTAGTCAATGTTTGCATAAATCAATAATTTTCTTATTTCTATTGTGATAAACAAAGATTTTATAAATCTCACTTAAAGATAGATGAGTTGTCCTTATTTTAACTTCTCTTTAAAACATCTTGTTTAGGCCAAAAAAAAGAAAAATTCATTTTTGGAAAAAAAAAAAAACAAGTGGCTAAAAATAGGGTACCTGTACTGTATATATATATATGTATATATATATACTGTATGATGAAGCATGTCTATATATTTCTATCATGTTTTCTATGTATTGAAATGAAATTTGATGGGCGGAATAGCTTCTGCATGATAAATCGCCTTCTCAGTATCATCCATCATAATTCAGGGAAGAGGGAAAACGGGAAAAAAAGGGAAATCTGACGAAAACTATTTCACGCTAACTCGTTGGGATAACGAGGCGGATCAAAGCGCCACCATCGGTTGTTAATCCAACTATGATCCACTTCTGAAGGTTTATTGGATTAATTCAAGCACTTATCTTATCGATATATCGAACTAACAAAGCTTTTGTAGATTAATTATGTGAACTAGTGTTTTTTGATAGATCGATAGTTGTATTAGACCTATCAAATTGAATTTTAGACTATAAACGATGCTTCGCCTCCCAAAGTATCGATATTCGAACAAATCGAAGCTATACCAGTCGCTAATCTGTGCATATTTTATTTACGTTGTACAAAAATGTTTGTCACTTGGACTAATTAACTGCGAAGTCAACTTGAAAAATTCAACGCCTCATTGATTTCTAGCTTTTGCTCTAGTTCAAGTCGTATTCATGTTGAAAAAAAAAACAACAAAAAAGAGGAAAAATACTACAAACGCATACAAGTATAGACGAGACTTGTATAAACAATCGTCTGTTTGTTGTAAAAATGCAAATAAACTTTTGAGTTTTTTCTATTGAAATAGCTATGAACGCTGAAATGATCCATTTAGTGATGTTTACTTACCCTTCAACTTTCGTTGGAGGCAAACACCATTCCGATATTTCCAAATAGATTTTATTGAATAATCAGTGACTCTATTAGCACGAATTGAATTTGTGGATGGTAAAAAAATTGCAGAGATGACATCTCTAGCCTGAAGAGAGTCAAGGTCAAAAAAAAAAGAACAAACGCTCTCCGGCCATTCTTCTTCTTTTTTTCCGATCCGAATTTATATTAACCCATACTTTGCGGTTTATAAACTTAGTTCGCAACGGCAATAACATTGCAGTCGGATCAGGATGGCTAATCCTTCTTTGAGATTTTTGCAAGAGATTAAGGAATGGCTTTGATGTTTGTCTTTTTTGTGCCACTTTTTTCTTTTTTATTTGCGCTTGAAAAGGCTTCTTTTATCACTTGTTAATAAAGTAAAATATAAGGAAAATTGGAAAAAAAATAATATAATAAGATCAATAAATTGGTTAATTATTACAAATCCGTTTAATTTGAAATAATTATGTACAAACACTTGAATAAGATCAAATTTTCATGTTTACATTAACTATTGACCTGCAAAAGCAAAGTGATTGTTTTTTCTTCAAGTTATCTCTCTAACCCAATAGACCAAAGTCTCTTTTTCTTCAACCTCCCGCCCCCCCCCCCCCCCCCCACACACACACACAGGCACTCTCTCTCTCTCTTTCCTTAGCCTATAAACTGTGTATACTTTATATAAAGAATTTCCCACTTTCTCCTACCACTTTACAAATCTTTCCACTTCTGCCCCCTCAATCTCTCCCATTCTTTATATTGTCCTTGTTTTCTATTGAATTACAAGAATAAATTAATAAAGTAAAAGAAAAAACTTTTCATTGACATTTTTTCTTTATTGGAAGATCTTTGAATTAAATATTAACTGTTTTTTTATGTGATTGATAAAAAAATTACCTGATTATTCTTTTTTTTTGCATCGAACTGCAACTGCTTCGTTGTGTTTGCATAAAAAAAAAGAAATGTTTGTTACATCAATAGTTATTTTAAGCACCAATCGAACTTCAGGCCCAAACTAGATGTTCAACTATCTTTTCTTCTGTAAACATATAATTAGTCTACCAGGAATGATTTCCTCTCTTCTTAAGTATCATTGAACTTAATTAGTGAATAGTATTCCGTCAATCTTGTAGGTACAGTGTGGGAAAGCTTAAGTACAATCCGTCTGGTGTACATTTATATATGTATGTATAGATGCATGTTGCTTCATTTTCTTTCTTTCCTCTTCCCTACGATTCTCTTTATTATTGCTCTTCAAATATATTTAAAAGTTAATAAGTGAGGTTTTTGAAACGTTAAAAGAAAGGAAACGATCTAATTGTGAAGTAAGAGCATGTCATCAGTTTTCTTTCAATATGTTTAGAAGGTGATATTAGTTATTGGAAAAGCACCGTTTGTTATCTTTCTTATACATATATATATATATATATATATATGCTATTTCTCACTTCCCTTCGTAGATCGTTATCTAAATTTGATATAAAGGTTTTCCTTCTTTGCTGGAGACAGAAAAGAAAAGAATATTTGCTGTTTAAGTAGAAATGGATATACATAAATATACCGTGCGGTATATAATCAACGCAGTATTTATTCAGCACCAATCAAATTCGAGCCCCAAAACAAATATTTTGCTATCTTTCTCACAATAGCCGTATACTTGGCCGATTTTTAACCAGAACGACTCGCAATTGCATTCCAGATCGTTTTGCAGTAGCGATAAAGTTGTTAAATTGACAGATTTCACTTGGATCGAAGTAATCCTTTTCAACTTATTCGCGTCCATTTCTAGTAGCTTTAAAACCTTTGTATAGTGGAATGTATCATCGTGTAGTTCTGTTACTCGATTATTAGATAATCTTAACCAGAATAATTTAGCTAATCCGTAAAAGGTTTTTCTCCATAAAACTTGAATTTCGTTTGAGGATAAATCTAAATACTGAAGGTTTGATAAAAATTTAAAACTACCATCGTACAATGTTGATATGCTATTAAATTGAATAGTTAAAACTTGAAGATTTGATAATCCTTTTAATGCTTCCGTTTGGATAATCTTTAATCTATTTCGGTCAACGAAGAGTTTTTTTAAATTAGTTAATTGTTCAAATGTTCTATTCTTTAGAGCTCTAAGTCTATTTCCTGATAAATCTAGGGTAGTAATTGTCTTTAAAGACCAAAGATGTCCAGGCAAGATTTCCTCTAATTCGTTATAGCTAAGATCCAATCTTTCCAAGTTTCTTAACCCGTAGAAAGTTTTATTTGTTAATATATTTATTTGATTACCCCAAAGTCTTAAATCGACTAGATTCGGACAACCGTAAAATGTTGAATCTCCTAAAGTATTAATGAAATTTTCGGATAAGTCGAGTTGGATCAAATTACTCATTTCTGATAGAAAATTATTGCTAATTACTTCCAGACGACAACGGGAAATTCTTAAGTCAATTAGATCGTGACTAAGAGAATGTAAAGCGTCTGAATGAATTGATGAAATAGGATTACGACTGAGGAACATTTTCATCTTAAATAACAGAACAAACTTATCTATGATAGAAATTTTTTTCTTGTTTCTTTTACTAATTTAAATATCCAAAATGCAATAAATATTCAAGTATCTCTCTCTCTCTCTCAGCCTATTAGGTAATAGAATTTATTTTGATTGAATATTCAATTTATGCTCAAATGGTTAAGTTAATTTCGAAAGCAATAAATCTAAATAAGAAAAAAAAAGTGGGCGGATGGGTGGGAATTGAAGAGAAAGAAAAGTGTAAAGATATACAAGTTTTCTCTCCAGGGTATATCCCTTTCGCTAGTTTTTAAACATTGGCCTAATCGTTAAGTCTATTAACAACTTTTCTGCTATTAAATGTTTGAAAACGGACCTCAGTATAAGTCTTCTAACATGAATAGAGGAGAATGAGAATCGAGGTAGTAATGAAATATTATTTCCTTGTAAATCCAATAAATCCCATAAGCGGTGGTTATAAGAATTAAATGATGGTATATTGTTCAATTGAAGGTCCTCGCATAAAACTTCATCCCCGATGCAGCTGCATTCTTCCGCTGGACATGATTTCGTAAGGAAGAATAAGGCGGAGAATGTTAACGGAATGAAAATACACCGCATAACTGACTTTAAACATTTCGAAACTCTATTACAGTGACGTCTATCGGCAGTAAAACAGACACCTCTAGGGGAAGGGGTTGAACGTACTTGACTCTGCACGTCTATCAACAAGTATTCTAATGAGGAATCGTTGTCTTGTGAATAAAGTCTAATTATTATACATTCCAAGAATCACCGTTCAGGCACTTTCCACCATAAAACATTTTAGATAAATTAGTAATTAAACAAATGTAATCCGTTGGGGTAGAAATCGCCATCTATCGTCTATAAAACTAATATCCATTGGTTGTACAAATACTTGTCCAAAGTGAGGGCACAAAAGGATAGAAAATAGTCAGGAAATAGTATAAATATACGGTATATATACACATGTAGTATATAGGATAAATTTATTTAAAGCTTTTTTCTTATTAAACATCTTGACAAAGATTAATGAAGGAAGGAAGACAAGGAAGAGTAAGAAATAAATGGAGAGAAATGTAAATTAAAGAGTAATCTTTAATATTCATTGTATATTTTAAACCTACATTTATCGAATTGATAAACTTATTCAATAAAATCTAATTATTATACTAATACAAACTGCATATAATAATATTGAAGAATGCACAACAACATTCTCCTTTAAAGGTATTTATAAACTATTCAATGAAGCTTATTGGCAAATAGTTGGTATAAATGTATACTGTACATATTGCCCTTCAAAATAATACATGTTGCATATATACTGTATATATTCTAAAGAATATACTATAAATATTCATGTATACAGTATTTCTTAGCTTTTAAAATAGCTTCTCAGTTCAATTAAGGTATTTTATATCATTTTTAATAATAATATTAATATTTTTTATTTACAGAGAAAAATGAGCATGATCAATAAGAAATTCTAGATTTTATTGTTCAAGAGTATATGCTAACGAAGAAAGAAACTTTGTAGCAAAAGTTGATTAGATTATAGATAATCAAAGATGGTAAGAGAGAGAGAGAGAGAGAGAGAGAGAGAGAAAGACGTGGAGGAGAAATAGGCGAATGAATAAATAAGAGAAGACTCCTAAAGAGCTACAAAGATTTTTACTTGTTCAATCAAATGTAATGGGCTTCTTAGCTGTTCATTCAATTATTGGACTGTAACGTGTTAATTAAAGCCTACATGCCATCCTATTTAAGAAGTAAAAACAACACTAAAAAAATCAATAGTTTCTTTCTCTCTTCCTAATAGTGAATACAAAATCAGAAGAAGAAAGGAGAAGGGAATGAAAGAAAGTTTAATATATTAATGTATATATTTGATAAAAGAATTTAAACTATATCAAAGCAATATTCATGGTATATCCATGTAGAATTAATACTACATAGTGTATACAAGTCATATACTAAGTTTACTAACTTTTCTATCATATCAATACTCTTCAATGTATACTGATACTACTAGGAAGAAGTATTTTATACTTGTGGAAGATGCTCTTCCTGTCATAGAAGAAACTGAGGCAAAAATGGGCGGGCAGTACTCTTCCAGCAAGACAACGCTGGCTGTCACACAGCAAGGAAAACGAAAAGAGCCTTTAAAAACAACAACATCAAGCCCATTGATTGGACAGCAAGGAGCCCTGACCTCAGCCCAATTGAGAATCTGTGGCACCTGACCAAGACAATGGTCTATGATGGCCCACAGTTGGAGTCAGAGCATGAACTGTGAGAAAAGATTAAGAAGTGCTGCTACGAGGTTATCAATAGGAATCCACTCTTATTGCCAAGTTTATATGATGGAATGGGTCGTAGAATAAGCAAGTGCATAGAAAGAGAGGGTGGGCACATACAGAAATAGTCAAAAAATTCAACAATTTAACATTGTTCCAAAAAATATGTCGCGCAAAAAATTTGAGGTGTTCCAATATTCTTGTCGTTCACTTTTATACATCAAGTCTATCTGTCTATGTATATATATATATATATATATATATAAATTTATATATATATATATATATATATATATATCAACGTGCGTGTATTTTAGGACGTGTAGAAGGGTTTCTACCTGATCTGGCGATACAAAAATAAATGGAGATGAATATAGGTAAAAGGTATTTATGGTTACAACTTCCGGTCTTTTGATATCGATAGACGCCGCTACTAGTAAATTTTTTTGTCTAGAATTTGGAGGAAACGTAAATACGTTTCGTAGAAATAAAAACATATATATTTTTGCCCTGAAGGGATTATTTAATTAATTCGTTTTGTAAAGGGTAAACTAAATTTGACAAGAGGCGTCCCAAATGCTTATCATTTCTTAGAAGGAAAGTGGACGCTTATTTATGGCTTGACTTTGGCAATTATATTTGTTAATAATAGTATAATAATTGGATATTGTGAAAGTTTATTTTCGTCTTATATGATTGTTTAGTTCTTAATAGCGTCTCCAAGCTTTGTTTTTTCTCTCCCTAATTATTTAGCGATTAATGACCTAACAACTATATATACTTCAAAAGGTCAATCTTAAGGTTTTCACACAAAAACAGGTGACTTGAATCATTTTTCACCTATTTACAATTTATTAGGATAATAAACATTACTCAGTTAGACCCGAAAGTCGGAGGTTATAAAATATGAGGCAATGGGACAGAATTGAAAGTGAAGGAAACATTTGGGCCTCTTTTGCAGGTGATGATGAGACAAGTATAGTTCATATGGCCTCACTTCATCATTATTTCGATTATTGTGGTGGAAATCGTATCGGTGATGACCTTTATACAGATTCAGTCATTGCTCTGCAAGCTCATTCAAGAGTAAAACTGAGGCATAACAGTCTGTTAAGTATGATCTATGAGGCTATAAAAAGTTAATTTAATGTAATATTAATCTAAGATTTATATAAGATAACTATATCTTGACATTAAGGGATAGAAAGGCTGGAACGACTATCAGTAATATTAAAAAAGTGAGACAAGCTATAAAAATCGTCCTATACGTAAGTTGTAAATAATCGAACATATCGTTTGCTCTTATTTAAACTTATTCATTTGACATTGCCTTTTCTTCAATTATCTATTGAGTTTAGCCAACGAAATTTGGTTCTATGTTTATTTATAACGCTCGAACAGGAACGTTCTACTGAGCATGGTGAGTTGTTGATAAACGACAAACCCTTCTCTTTTCAAATAGGGTAGAGTTAGAATCATTTATAAAAATAGTATCAATTTACACAAACTTTATTTATTTACTTCGGAAAAGAAGTTATCGTTTACTTTATTATTGACTTTGAAAAAAATAGGTTCCTGGGCAAAGTTGCAAGGAAAGCGCAAACAAAAACCAGTTGGAGATTTAGGTCGATCGGAGAGAGAACTCAGTTCGATATGAGTCTGGTCAATTATAGTCTATTCAACAATACAGAATCTTGTATTGACATTCTATTGGATGTTATGAAAGTTTATAATGGTTTTTTTGACAGGTATTGTCATACTTGAATTAAGAAATTAAAGAATTCTATACTATTTGCATCCTTTATTTCTTCCTTCTTTTTGTTTCTTGGAGATATCAATTCTTAGGGCTGTTGGTCGAATTAAGTGGGCTAGTACGTCAGTTCTCCCTAAAGGCAATTTAACAGTAGTTGCTACATATAATATTTTCAGAGGTAATGCACTGCAATATGTTTGAATGTAATAATATAGTAATAGCAATAGACTATTTATTATTTCGTCCCCAGTGAGACAGCTAAGTCCCTAAAAATGTTGCTCAGGAACTCTTAACGAACACTGTACAGGATCATCTTATTATGCATTCGTTGATGTGCTGACGTAAGGGATAAAAAAATGGATAAAGTATATACAGTAAATCAATTATTTGCTTGTTTATGTTTGTTAGCGAACCGTCTTGGTTAATACCGTGTCACGTAGGTCCCTACGCAACCATGATTGGCATAAATTTAAATAACACAACTATCAAATGGTTTGTTCCTTATGCATACCATTTTCCATTCGAGTCAAGGGAAGGGGTGATGATGGTATTGATGCTAGGCAAATAAAATCAAATTTTTACGCTATAACTATTATAATAATTCAAATTTATTCATAAACGTGAAATTTATCCGATTTTTTTTATTAGGAAAGCTTTCTCCCTACAATTGATTCCTGGAAGCGACGCTGTAATGGGAGCTGGTTCGGAAGACCATAAAATTTTAAGCGCATGATGTTCATACAGGTGAAATATTATGATAGTCGGATAAATTTGAACACGGTGCAACGTCATTATGACTTATAAGTTGGATCGTTAAATAGATATTTATGTGTTATATATAATTGTTTTGTGAATAAACATGTATATTTATATATCGTATACATTACATATAGAAGTACATTTAAGCTTTATATATTCTTATCGGCGCTGGATAGATGTAAAGGAAAACAATATATTGAATTTCTAGACCTGGTAAGAGGGCTAACAATTTTCTAACCTGAAATTATAAATTATTAAGAATAATCGACAAATACTAAGAAAGACGGAAATAGAAAAAGTGATATGCTATATACAAGAATATATATACTGTATATATTGCTATATAGCATTTTTGTCATTAAACTCTCTTCTTAATTTCAATATTTTAAATGAAATAAATAATGAAAAATGATGAAAAGAACATATTGAAATGTTTACGACCGCATTGAAACCAAAGATAATTAGCTGTATTGTTTTTTGTTGTCATTGACAATTGTATATCGATATGTTTTCCTAATTTTATTTTGATGATTTAGCATATCTTTTTTTAGATCATAAATTGGCCAATTTTCGATTTTCACTTAAATGATATTTAATAAATAACGATAGACTGTTTATTGTAAGTAAATCTATATATATATATACATATAAATATATATATGTGTATATAAATAGTTATATATGCGTATTCAATGTACAAGTATGCCTTACATTTCTATTTATAGTGTAATTTTACTTATTCTAAGATTGATTAAATGTCTCTATAGCCTTTTTATACTTAGAGATAAATATAAACATAAACTGTATAGATATTTATACTTAAATAAAGTATATCAAGGTTCATGTCTAAGATTTCCGAGAAATTTCAAAACTTGTTAAATTTATCTTTCCATACAAAAAGAAAAAATACAATCCATTTTAATACAGAATGGTCTCATATTTAGTTTCCTTTCATTCATAATAAACTATACAAAAATAAACGTGGAAAGACTATGTAGGAAAAGTTAATGAGATACGAGCAACAAGAGATACGCAGATATATAGGTTAGATAGAAGTAGACAGAGAGACAGAGAGAGAGGGGAGATACTACTTTAGGTTGATTGCGCATTATTGGAAAATTTCTCTCTAATTTCTAACTATACGAGTTATTCTGCAAACTAAGATATCATTATAGTATTGATTATAATATGATTATAGCCAAGTATTATTACAGAGAAAAGAGTATAAAGCCCAAAAGTTGAATGAATCTAAATATACTTTTATAGAAAACCTAGTTAATAAGAGAAAAAAATCTCTTAATTGAATTATAAAAAGTGATAAATAAAAATAAATTGACATTTGTTCTAACATATCTTACATCAAAGTTACAAAGAAACGGCAAGTCTGTTGAAGATAGCTACTTAGCTTATAGATACAGTAATCCCCTATTCACTCATTACATTTTGTTTTTCCGGGTAGCATCATTTCTTTGAATTAGTCAATTATCTATTAGATTTTTAAGGCATGATAAAAAATTAGTTAATTGAAAGTATCTTTTTAATAAAAATAGAATTGATATAATAATTTTAAGTCAACCGTTAAAAAGTTTCTTGAAATAGAGAAATAGGTTTATTCACATTCTAAGACGTTTAAGGTCAAATAAAAAGAAAATACTATAACCAATTAATTAAAGACTGTAAGTTGTCCATCATCAAAATAGGTTAAATCTTAGTTATTGCCCGAAAAGAGAAGAGAGAGAGAGAAAGAAACCAACGATCAAACATGCAAAGAAGTGAAATAAAAAACAACAAAGACAATAGGAAAAGCTTACGTGTTTGATTATGTTTATTTGAAATAATAACTTTGACTAGTAATAAAATATTTTTTAATAAATTAGAATAAAAAATGACAAAACGAAAAGGAAAGAATATATGAAAAATCAATAATTAACATTATTAATATTATTAAACAAGAATATTCACTTATTTACTGATGTACCTTTTATAAGGTTCTATTTTGATTTGGCTTTATAAGTTCGTTGTCGATACACAATTAATACGTTTAGGCGAAAGATTATTATGGAGAAAAGCAGATATAATTCTATGAAACAGTAAAGAGAGCGTAAATGATTAATAGATGATTATACAGAAATAAAAAGTTAGAAAAAAAGGGGATATCAAAGTCCATAAGCGTCTATTCTATCATTCTTTTGATAAAAAAATTAATGCGTTTATTACAGCGTCTTGTTGTTTTGAATATAAAAGAGGACAAAATGAAAACTGCTAACGTTCTTTGATAGAAAATCTTAAACGGTAGGAAAATAAAAAAGTTTAAAAGACATGCAACAGCAGTAGAAACTGTAGTCATCAACGAAGCTATTATATTTGTAAAATACAGGTTTAAAACGGGTTAAATAAGTTATAACCTAGTTTTCTTTTTCTTCTTTAATGGAAGAAGAAGAGGATAGCATCCCCAGTTATAAATATAACTAACTAACTAACCTAATTAATTAATTAATAAATTGATTAATTAACTTACACATAACTTTTATGACAATAAAAGATAATATTTCCTTGATATAGGCAAACAACACAGACAACACTACTAGTAATCTCTCCTGGTCTTGTCTGCCATTCACAAATATTATAATAAACGTATTTTCCTCAAAAAAAAAAGAGAACAACACGTGTGTTCTAATTCTAATTACTAATTAATCCTTTTGTAACACAAAGGTTGTTTCTCATTCCTCGTTTTTCCTTTTCTCTTCTGCTTTGCTGTGCCTACCTTTGGTGTCTATATTTAGTTCTATTGGCTTAAAAGTCACTGTTTCCTCGTTCCACAACCTCTATTTTGTTTCTTACCCTAGAATTAAACAACTTACATACACATAAGTAACAAATAACAAACTGTACTCAATTTAAAGGTTAAGTAAAGGTGTACTGTGCAGAACTTTTAACAATGCATTAGTAGTTTTTTTTACTATTTCTTTTTACAACTGTTTTTAAGTATTCTTAAAAATTTAAATCAACTTTTTATTCAATTAAAAGAAGCTTATTAAAAATAGTAAATATTCTAGAATATTCATTTCAGTCTCTTTTTTTTGTTTTAATTAAATTTAATTAACCTTATGAGTGTTCTCAAAGCTTTTTTATACTCAGCTTATTAAAAAGACAAATGGCTTTAACATGTAGATTTTGTTTTTTTCCTCTTTTTTATTTTCTTGTATATATATTAATCTCATCAGGTAATATATTTTAAACAAATATCTCTTTCGCTCTCCCTCCCTCTCTCTCTCTCTCTCTCTCTCTCTCTCTCTCTCTCTTTCCCTCTAGCTCTCTCGCTCTTCCTTTTAACTTAAACTTCTTAAGAGAGCAGCTTAGTACTCAAGATTTCACATTTTTAAACCTATAATAGCCTCTCAACTGTGAGGAAGCCTTGAGACACTTTATTGCTCAACCTTGTTAGACTGCTCCGTTATAACCTGAGGAAAGGGAAACAAAACGTGCAATTTAAGAAAAATATTCGTTATTTTAAATTACAAATGGGAATATTTTTAGAGTTGATTGGAGTTGGAAAGATAGGAGGAAAGACTTATCATCATGCTCATAACTGAGTGGCGTTTGGCAAAGTATAAATAATCTAATTCAAATCTTTTCGCTGACTCATACTCTTTCTCTATCTATCTATCTATCTATCTTCAATTACAAAAATCTGGAAAAGTCAATACCGTTTACTTATAGGTAATAAAAAATTAGTGCGAAAATCAATTTATCTATGATTACTAACTATTCAAGCTATAGATTTTGAATGGGGGTTGGGAAGGGAGAGGGAAGAAAAGTGTAAAAGTATATTTTTCTATTCTTACCAAACTTGATTTCTTAATAATCTAGATCTCTTCAAGGGAGCATTCAAGCTGAAGAGGCAGTCATATTTCGTACTCGAATTTCGTAAACTATTACACTAATAATAAAACCTAGGCATTTTTTATAATGAAATATTCACTTTCTCCATCTACATAACTTCTAAGTGAGTGTTTACAGTCATTAAAAAATAATATACCATCTACTCAACATGATATTAAAAAATATCTAGTTTGTTACTATTAATTAAAAGAGTCCATCTATCAATGTATTTTAAAATTCTATAAATGTCCTGTTTCTATACCAGAAGAAATTTAACCTACTATTTAATTTGCAATGGATATTCTAATTATTAAAGAAAATTATTGAAGAGGAATAAAGATGGAAGGTGATGAAATGAAGACGAGAATATACTGTATGAAATCAGTTATATACTATGTATAGTAAAAACATATACAGTATATATATATAAATTTATATCTATGTCGTTCCACTGAGTATAAAAGATTTATTGTTTAAAAAATCATTGATTAACTTGAATTCATATCTATATAATTGCTATTCATTAATTTCATTAATGCATGCATAAAGCCTTAGATATTTGTACCACATATATAGTATATAATTTGGACTTTTCTTTTATCATGGTTTTACCTATTTAGCGACTAATCCTTACGATAAACTGAACAAAACAAGGGAAATTGATAGAATGAAAAAAATCTCAATAACTTAGATAACATTGTTCAATTAGGTAATGTGCATGTTGTTTGATACTAATTATAATAACTGGTCTCAAATGGACAATTGGATTTGATAGATTCGCTTGAGTTATCTTTTCATATAAAATATATTATTACTTTGATTAATTATAGACAAGCGAAAAGAATTTAGAATAACGTGAAAGATAGTTTCCACTTTCTTTAAATAACGTTTTCTTCATTGCGGTTGAATTATCGTTATAATAATGGGAATCGTTGTAAAAAAAGAAAAAAAATCTATCAATATCCTATTGGATTACATTTCAAAGTGTAAGATTCCAAATTATCGTTAAACTTCAAAAAGAAGGTTGTTTAACTCTTGTGACTCCATTTAAAGAATATTGTAGAGTATTTGGTTAGATAAGGAACGGAGAAG